TATATTGAGCTTTGAAATCAATTTCCAGCTTTCTCTTAATTATTTTCGTTCTCCTGAGAATTATGGATGCAATTAATTATGTAACCAAAGTATTTTTCATGGTATCAGATCTAGAGTTCTTACATTGTGAGGTCCATACTCTGTTGCCATACATCTTGTTAGTTGATCTACAGCACCTTTGCTCGAGCCATATATTCCTATAGAAGGCATACATTTAAAACTTCCTATGCTTGATACATTTACAATCGATCCTCCCTTTCCTCGCTCTTTCATGCCATTGGCAACAATCTAAAGACAACAATGTTTGAAAGTGATTAAAATAAAATTCTTATAAGGTTTTGAACATAAAAGTAAACTCTATGCGCTAATATTTATACAGTATTTAAGTTAATTTTAGAAATAAAAAAAAATTCTAGGACTCCTTCTGCAATACATAGTAAAAAAATATTGAAAAATTTTTATTTTCCTTTAACCTAAAAATTTTTTTTTTAATATTTTTAAGCTCTAACTTTTTCAGTATATCTCAATAATTTAAAGCTAATTTTTTCATTTTCACTATTTTTGCCAATTGTCCTTCAGTCTACAATTTAAAGCATATAAAACATTCCTTATTTTTCAATTTTCTGCTTTTAATGTTATAATACGACTTAAGAAAATGTATTAAGTTTCATTGTCTACTGAAAACTTCGAATAAACCTCAAGTTTTAACATAGCACTTTTCATCTGACAATAATACTCTGGAAATATAAATACTCCAAAAAATTTACTCATGCGATTTAAATATCCTTTTTAACTTGCATGCAAAATATGAGATAAGATATCACGTTTACTTACTTGAGTAATATTTATAATTGCCTTTAAATTAATGCTGTAGAGCCTGGAACACAATTAAAAATTTGAAACATTAGTAACATTTTAAAATACGTTTTTGGTCAAAATAAGTATAATTTCCACCTTATAGTAATAACTTGAACATTTTATGACTATATTAAGTTAATCAGATTATTTTCATAAACTCCAATTCTTTCAAAATCACTTAACTTGAAAGTAGATCAAAGTTTAAAATGAAGTTATCAATCTTAGATTATAAATTATAGATTTCGCTGAGAGAAAAAATAAGAGACCGTAGGTTGCACAGTTTACATCAGTTTTGTTTTATGCAGTTGGATTTACTGAACTATTAGGTAAGCCAAATCAAGTTGTGAGGAAGAATATGTTCCTCCATTTTTCAGATTCTTCTTTTATCTGGCCTTCATTAACATCTATAGCAATGATTGGCAACCTATGAGCTACGAATAATATAAAAAAGATTACCCCATCGGTATACTGTTTATTTTTTTTGCATTCATAGATAATACGTGCTGTGAAGTAGAAGTAATGTTACGAACTACCAAGAATATTTAAAAAAAAATTTAAAAAATTAAAAAATATTCATTTATAAGCATTTACTGACCATTGTTCTATAGCTATTAGTGACTATCGTCTTATTGGTCTCCTAAACGGTAAAAAAAAAATTCCTCGTTCATTGTTTAATTCGAATTCATACTTCAACACAAATTAAAGCAATCTATAGTTTATAAATTAAAATACTTAAACATTATTTTCGAACATTAATTAAATTCTTCATGGAAAAAAAATTAAAGAACTTTATGTAAGAAAATCATACTCGTCAATGTCCTGCTCAGTCATGTTTCCAAAGTTTACAAGTTTCATAATAGCGGCATTGTTTACCAACAAGTCAATAGGTCCGATGCTCTCAATAGCAGATTTCGTAGATTCCCAATTTCCAACGTCCAAGCAAACCGTTTTTATATTCTTGTTCTGAAACAAATTAATTAAACTGATTTATTTTTGAAGGATACTTAAGAAGAAAACATGCTCCGATTAATATTTCATGAAAAACAACTAATTTAACAATTTAGAATTTATTTATTGGTTATTATAGATGGAAAATAACTCCACTTACGATTGTTTGCAATTCATCTAAATCTGATTGCGTGCGGCTGACAGCGACAACTTCAGCTCCACATTCAGCCAGCCTAATAGTCACCGCTTTTCCAATACCTTAGTAAAAACAATTGAAATAAAGGAATTTTGAGTTCTTTAATACATTTTTCATGCTTGGCATTCTTTCATGATAATAAAACTACAATGGTTTTTACTGCATGGACGTGCATACAATTGGGTATTTGAAACTCGAGTAGAACAGTACCGCTAAAATTCCATGGTTGTGCCCAATCAGGTGGTTGAACATAGGTTTGGTTTATTATCCGCTGAATCTTTTTTCGTTTAAGTTTTAATTGGATACCTACAAGCGATGTCATGCGTGTGTTTCAAACGTAATTAGCTGCTGAATCGCGTAATAAACAGATTTATCCACGTTTGACGCAGCTTGCAAGTATCCAATACAGAAAATTAAAAAAAACGGTACACTATTACTTTTGATCCTCCGGATTTATAATCCCTAAGATGCAAACTGTTTACTTTGAGGGCATAACCCTAAGTTGCGCAAATGATATTTTAAGTTCCGAAATTAGACACAAATTTTTTATTTTTATTTTATTAAAGTTACATTTTATAGAAAATTCCTTCAAAGTTTTAATTGTAACTAAAAATGACAAATCCCAAATTTAAACGAAAGCAATCAAATAGTTACTAAACGATAAAACTTCAAATTAGTTATATTTTAAAGTGTTATTTCCTCAAATTCAAATTATAGGTTAAAACTTCGAAATAATTTGCATATTTAAAATGTTTCTGAAACACTCGTTATTATAATAAATAAAAAATTGCTTTTGCATGCTCTCGCCTTTGAATAAATGAGTTTCAATCTTAAGTACCAACCCTTTTGCGCGTTTATGTATTTCATGCGATATGTCCAAATATGCAAAGAGTAAAAACAATATTTGAAGCTTAAATAATTTTGCCTTCTTCTTTTATGTTTGGGTCCAAAATTTTCGAGAGATGCCTCATCATATTTTGAGGATCAGACAACCGAGTCCAAAGAGCAAAAAAAAAGATTTTATTTTCTTTATTTAGAAAAAGAAACATTTTTGCGTCTGATTTCACAGTTTAAAATGTCTTTAGTTTTATTTAATCAAGAAAGTCAAAGGGAAATAAAAATGGAGAATCGGAGGAATGTTATTAGGTATTTGTCTGTTGTTGTTGTTAATTTACGTCGCATTAGAGCTGCACAAATGGGCTATTGGCGACGGTCTGGGAAACATCCCGGAGGATGATCCGAAGACATGCCATCACAATTTTGATCCTCTGCAGAGGGGGTGGCGCCTCCGCTTCGGTAGCCCGACGACCTGCACGCGAAGTCGAGCACTTTACGGTAGCACAGTTTAACGAGGACCAATACCGCACACCCTCGGTCCCTACGCAGACTGATCCAAGTGGTCTCCCACCCGCACACTGACCGTTGCCAGTGATGCTTAACTTCGGTGATCTGCTGGGAACCGTGTCTTAACGATCAGTCCACTGCGGGACATTAGGTATTTGGCGTTAGTAATTGATTTGAAAGCAAAATAAAGAATCGGAGGAAAGTTATTAATTATTTGCAAGTTATTTGGCGTATTATAGAAAAAAGGAATTTAAAATTTAACTCATTCAAAGAGCTTCCTATCGTCGTTAACCAAAGAATTGAAATGACATGCTGGTTCAGAATTCGCCCCAAAAGACAAACTGTCATATTTTGCACGCTTTATCTTTCCTCCTTTATAAAAAGTGAACTACACAAGTATTATTTCTTAGGCTGAAAGTGAACTACTTTTACTACTGATAAATGAACGCTAAGTTTTCCTGTCACCCACTAATTTGTCCTAATTGAATAATACTCTCGATTATTCTACATCCATCATTGAAAACATATCGCTACAAATATACAGGGCTATTCATAATTCCCTCCGACTGTAAATGCCATTTTTCTTTACTGCAACTGGCTTCCGTGGTACATGTTACTGCCATCTACCGGCAACTACTTAAATTAAAACTTCAAAACTTTCGGAATAATTTCATATGTTCTTTTTTGCCATATTCGTCTTCGATTTTTTACTATAACGCTTCGAAACCCCGGAGGGAATTATGAATAATCCTGTATTGATCTATATTAAAATCCTCGTATCTGAATATTTAGATGAACTATTTTTTTCAAACTTAGTTTGTTACGGTCAAAATCAAAAATATTTTGTTCTTCAATCATCTTGGTGTAAGTAATTTTACATATACCATGTGAAGAACCCATAAGAGAAAGTAAAAAAAAACGGGAAGTTTCATTAAATTACACAAAATTTTAAAATATTGCATACATGTTTTGATTTTCTTTTGGGATATTTCGATAAAGCTATATGTTTTAAAAAGAATTTAAGAGGTACCGAAAGAAGTAAGAATTACCAATTAAGAGACATTCTAAAAAATCATTATTCGTAAAGTTTTTTTTAAAAAAAAAAAGAATACTAAGCCAGAATTAAAATAGTTCTCAAACTAAACACTTAAAAGGAAAAGATATTGATTTATTATTTAAAAATGGCCTTAATTTTTTTTGAAATATACTTTTTGAGTATTCCTACACCATGTGTAAAGTTTTACTACGACTTTTATGTGTAATCTATTGCCCTTTGAAACTGAAAATTTGCGGTACGATGCAATATGTGGTCTAAGCGGCAACATTTAACTATTTAACCTAATACGTGAACTTTTTACCTTAATAAACCAATGCAAAGTAGTTGAGAAAAAATAGTTTTTATTGGATTAATTATTTCGCACAAAAAAACCCTACCCAGAATACATTAGAGACATTGAATTTTAAAAAAAATATTTTTGATATTTTACTCAAATCCTTCATTTTTATTTATGCCAAGGAATTAATTTTAAAAATGCCATTCATAGTGCTTTGCTAGGCATAGTTTACAAATTATTTTAAAAGATTTCTAAAGTATGAAATAAGACAGTAAAAAAATTTATAAAATCAACGCAATTTTCAATAAACATTCTATTACCTTTTCCTGCTCCTGTAACTAGAGCTCTTTTACCATCGAATTGGATATTCATATTTTCTTTTATTTATTTTTCTTTGAAGTAAAACTACTATTTTACAGTTTAGTCAGGTTGTGACCCTTTTAAACAAATATTCGAGAAATGGGAGTACTTAAAAATCGTCAATGTCTTATCTTTTATTGTGTATGATAAAGAAAAAAACATTTCAGACCGTAAAGATATTGTTCCTCATTGAATGTTTTATCTTGAGATAAAGAGTGCAAGTATTTTTTGAAGGAATGACTATGCAAGAAACTGCAATGATTAAATAATGCAACTTTAAAATTTAAATGCTTTTGAACATTTATGTGAGAAACGTTACAATACTGTATGTGTAAAAACTTTAAGAACTGTTAAAAATATTGAATAATAATTTTTTTCTTCAAAATTTTGAAATATTTCCCTCAAAATAATATCTATATGCATATGCAATAAATTTTAATGCAAGTGAAATAAAAAATATATAACTTAGAATAATAGAAATTTTCTTCTTTTTTTTTTGAAACACTGTACAAAATTCTTTATAAAAATATTATATGAAGTGCAAGTACTTTGATCGCATCATCCGTAAAATCCATTTTTTCGTAAAATCCCTTTTTACTGTAAAATATTATACTGTAATTATAATAGTAATTTTTATTTTATTAGAGTGATTCAGGGATTTTATGGTAATTATTACTGTAAATATTACGATATATCAGATTTTCTTTTTGTTCTGCAACATGTTCCTGTAAAAATGGATATTATTTTGAAATGACCAGCACCCTACCCTGAGCGCCGGTACGCAGTTACATTTTTTTTTTTTTAAATATCAAAAATTTAAAAATTCTCGTTTGGAATGAATCGATTAATTAGGTTAGTAAAATTTTCAGGCACGGTGAATCGTAATGCTGTTAAAATTTGCTGCAATCTTAAAATGTTTCAAATAGAATCAGATTATCGTACTTCTTAAACTTGAGGTAAAATCCTAGTACATGTTGCATGCTTGGTGCGATTTTGAAAAACTTCGCCAACGCCGAAATGACGCCTTGACGCTTGTCGCCAAACTATTACCAACACCATAGGATGTTTTTACTGGAATTGGTGTTGGCAAAAAACATAGAAATGCATAACTTGAAAATGACAAATGCATGAACAAGCTCAACTGCAAAATCATAACCCGGATTCTAAAATTCAAAATGGCTAAAAAGCAATGACCCACATCATGCCAATCGCAATCTCGCCAAATTTTAAGTTACAGGTAGGAAACTTTATTGCCGTTCCAAACATCGCCTATGTCACCAAATCCACCGTGTAACCTATACTAAGACCAAGCCAAAATTGTAACATGTTTCAAGTTGAACAGAGACATGGTAGACATTTTTAACTTATTAAGGTTGTAGCGAAATCATACCGTAGTATTGTTCAGCATGGGATGAATTTTTCCTGCGAGTGTACTTTTAAAAAAATGCGTAAATTTATGATTAGTTGTTGAATTGTGGCAATTGTTTATGTCAGAAACTGTTCTTTCCATTCTATTTCGAGTAAGCCAAGCCCATGATGCATCAATTCTCTTAAATGACACATCAATTATTCAAGTCAATCATTTCACTGTAGTTTCATTTTATTTCAATCAAGTTCAATTATTTCACTATATACTTCTTACTAAACCCAAAGACATATCTTGTAGAACTTAAACAAACTAATTATGCATCGAAGTTACCAGGTGCACAAGGCATAAATATATCATGATTACATTAAAAGACCTAAACAAATGTTAAATTTAAGTTGAGTTTAAGACGTAGACGAGAAAAAATTATGTTTCAAGAAATTCGATATGCGACATGGTGCTGTACTCAACTAATTTTACTTTGATTAGCATTTTCACTTATGTGGAGAAACTTAGCTCTACTTTAACACACCATTTTGTTTATAAACGTACAACTGACACTGACGTTATAAGTCACATGTGTGGGTGTCATTGATAATACTGAAGTTAAACTACTTTTTTTCCTTACCAAAAATAAAAAATCACTAAATAATAAAAGATTTAACAAAAATATTCTTCTTCAATTTTAAATCACTTACCTTTTCCAGCTCCAAAAACTAACGTCAGTTTCCGATCGAAGCAAATATCCTTTCATATAGTTTATTTTTTGAAACTTTTGATGGCACGAATTGATTTTTCAAATTTCTGTTTTCCCTTTTTATTGCCTCTATCCCAATGAATAATAAATAATCCAATCACAAAACGTAAATTTCATTATAAGTATTATCAATCAATCTATCTATTAAAAATTAAGGGTAAATTGAAAAAATAAATAAAAACGCACTACGTTTCAGAAACCTTATTTCTTTAAGTAGTGAAAATAATTCTATCAGTTTCAATATTTAAGATAAATTTGTCTACGAAAGTAACATACTTCTTCAGAACATAACTTTTATTTATTTCGTTGGTATATTCCATTTTTATTCATTCCTTAGCGTTCTCTAGGAAAAAAATGAATCAGTAAGGGACAAAAATATAAATGATGCTCAGAATCCCGTAAAGATTTCATTAAAGTTTTTTTTTCTTCTCTGTAAGAAGGGAAATTTCAGTATTTCTCTTCTGAAAATTAAAAAAATCAACACTTAGGTTTTATCTAAATCGGTCTTCGAATGTAAAAATACGTTGCAGACCTGTACAATGTTTGAAGACAGTAGAAAATAAAACGGATTCAACCATATAATCCGTTTTCGTGAGTGATGTATTCTGCGTTCTATCGCTAAGTATTAAAAACATAATAAAGTATAATGAGTAATATGGTAATTATGATAGATGCGTTTCTTCGTATTGAAGGAAAAGATACCTATCATGGCTTTTAATCGATAGCATAAAACTTTTTTAAATGAAATTTGCATCAGAAATTTAATTTCGAAATGTAATCTAATATCTTTAAAATGGACCATAAATTTTTGTTTACTTGCATTATAAAATAGCATTAAGGCTAAATACATACAAATAAACTGCGAAAAGTAATAAATGCTAAGTTAGAATGTTAATGTAAAAGCAACAATTCTTACCCAACATAATCTAAAATAGAGTGACTTGTGCAAGAACTATATTACTTTGGGATACGTACAAGCTGATTATATTTTATCACCAACAAAGTGCGAGATACACTTTGGTACAGGCGACAATATTCTGCTTACTTGACATAATATTTTTCATCTTCCTCACCTTCTTTGACTTACTATCAGTCATTTCAGTGTCTAAGAAAATGGTAAACATTTTCAAGAAATCATTTCAAAACATAAAACTTTTCTGCCAAATTAATTTAAATTGTTATTTAATGCCATTCGTATGACTGTAACAATTCTAACAATCTTATTCTTTCCTCAATTTTATATTTTGTGTAATTCAACTTCTCTATCTATCGTAACATTTGACAATTGTCTACTAAACATTGCATTCAAAAGCAAAAGAGATTTCAAGACAAATAGACAAATAGACAAGAAACGTTAATAGACAAATGATCACTAGAATCTAAAACGTTTGTGTTCTTATTCATATTAAAAAAACTACATTCACAACTAAGATGAAATTAAGAAAATAAGCAAATGCAACAATGAATACTAATAAATAGCATTCTATGAAAATATTACTGAGTTCTAAGTTAATCAAAAGGTTTAGTATGAATGAATATTTTCTGTTTCTTAATTAAAAGAAGTTGGTCATTAAACTTCATTAAAGAATTAGAATCGCAGAAGATCAAGTAATTTTATTGGAATATTATAAATAACACTTTTTAAAAATTTTTCTTTTATTTATAAGTTGTGCTCAAGTATTGTGGCGAAAAGTGTATCATATATGAAAAATATATTTTACATGAGAAATGGAAAATATTTTATTCGAAAAATATATTATTACAATATATTATGTATTCCTATAGTGTAGAAGACTGTTAAATTGAAAATTCCTTCTTTCATGATAAAATATGTAAATTTTATTTCAAATTCAGTCTATTCTTTTAAAATTATATAATACGTATTCTTCACTTAAATCACTTCAAATTACGAAAGAAACACTATTGACACTGATTATTTAAACAATTACTTTTTATCTAATGTATATACTAGAAAATATTAAAATAATTTTTTTTCAATGGTAAAATGCCATAGATTTCTATTATATGTAAAAATAGAATTCATGTTCATTTTATATAACTCTTATTGTTTGATTTCAAATACAAGCTATAATGATCTAGATGAAAATGATATAATAATGAATAGAACAGCATTGAATATATAGCATTGCTATAGAATAGCATTAAAAATGATTAAATAATGTAAGCTTTAAAATTATATATTAAAAAGACATAAGTAACAAATATATCTTTTTAATATTTATAGAATTTTGCTACCTTTAAAATCTGCTGGAACCAAACTTTTTTGCTTTTTCAAAGAATACATAAAAGTTTTAAAAAAAATGCAATAAAAAGTATGTTGTGTTTTTACCAGCATTGGGACTGATCATTACTTTCCAATGCTGAAAAGCCATCGTACAGTGACGCCAAATCTTATGAACCATCTGTTCAAGAGCTTAAGAATCTGTACTTTTATCTCCGTAAATTTGCATAATTTTATGTCTAATGTGTTCCGATATTTTTTGATGTACACTGCGCAAAATAAAAAACAGACAAAGCTAGTGAGACGCTCTCTCAATTGTCCCAGTTACTGTTTTCAAGCAATAAAGTTCCAGTTTCCTTGTCGCATCATAATACTATTTTTTGAGATAATTTGTTTTAAATATTTAAAATAATTCTGTGCAAAAAATAAACAGATACAACAGTACATACAAAACTCTTAACAGGTAATAACATTCATTTAATCAATCAAATTGTAAGTCATAATTATTCATCTTTTTTGATCAAAAATAATACATTTTTAGTCATATGAAATTTATTGTAAGGAAGTAAGCACTTTTTAAATCAAACATTTTCATTCAAACAATTAATCTCAAATAAAACATAGTTTTATGCAAGAAATGCCTTTCATTCTTTCATTTTTAATAAATCTGTAAGTACGTTTTGTATAGAACTATATTATATTTAAATTGAAATTTTATTTGCTATAGTAATCAATACTACTATATAAAATAACAAAAATAACTTTCAAAGTTCATTAGTTTAAAAGAGTATTAATCAGTAGTTTGAACGTCATAGTTAACAACGTATGACATGAATATCACGAAAACATTAATTAATTTTAGCTAAAAAATATTTGTAAGTCCTCCATCAATAGGCAATGTTATCCCACTAATCAGGGATGCATATTCACTCAGCAAAAATAGTATGGGGTAAGCAATATCATCCACTTCTAAAAAAGGAATGAAGAACATATTTTAAACAACATTTATAATAAATCTTTAAAATATTCTTAAACACAAATAGCTTGAAACCAATTGTGTTTCTCATGTATTAATGTAATTGCACTAAATATTTATGTATGCGGTACAAGAAGTTGACACACTACGCCAAAAACAATAGAATATTTAAGTAAAACAAACGTCATTATGAAAGCAAGAAGTTATGGTTGAAATATAGAAAGAATGAGACTCACGCCCTTACAAACATTTCCTTTTACGCATATCAGCAAATCAGTTTTTAAAAATAATGACAATCCAAAGGAAAGTAACTACGTGATCATCACAAGTATTTATAGTAAAAGAATATTAATCTCAATATAAAGCTCAAAATTTCATTGTTTGTTTGATTTGATCCTGACTGAAGTATTCCTGTTTTACATCAAGATTGTTTCCTTTTTGAAACTCTAATAAAATAGTATATTTTAAATAAGTTATCTTTTAAGTACGCCGTTTACGTTACTGTAAAAACTATAT